TTTGTAATCCCTTAGGATTGAAAGGGAGATGAAAGATTGTATGGAAGTATCGTCACTTTCAAAGCTAGAAGCTTGAAACTTATTTTTTAGTCTGTTGATTGAGTTGTATCGATTTCTGTATGGAAATTTTCATTTTTGAAACTAGAACGATGAAAGTTTTTTATTGAGTCAGATTACTAAATATTTTTTCACTATATCACGCGGATGAAGTCGTGGGAACAGCTAGTATAATATAATTGTAACATTGTAATTAAAATTTGACTGATTGTTATAGATGTTAGTTTAAACAAATGTATGAGTAGATAGTATAAAGCAACATCACAATGGAAATTTTATATTTTTGTTGGAAAATCTGGTATTGAAAATAAAGTTACAAGGTAAACTCGCTCGTTCAATGCCCAGTCAATGACCGGAGCAGACCCAAGTGGCATAGCAATAGTTGTTATTCTCGGGAACTAAATTTATTATTTATGTTAATAAACGAGATGGACATGTTCTCAATGTGTAACGTAACAGGTGTACAGGTAAGGAATATTCCGTACTACGACATTACACAGTACAGTTGCCTGATTTTTTTTCAGCCTATAAAGGGCAAAAGGTTAAATAGGCAACAAAAATAAGGGAATTTAGTTTTTAACCCGGATGTTCCCGGTCATCATCAAAAGACAAATTGTCTAGCGTAGATCGATCGATTTAATAATAAAAAACGGAGCATTCAAATACGGGACAGTCACGCTGGGCTAACTGATCTCACTTCATGCTCATCTTATCATCCTCCACTGGTGCCCCGCCAGCGTAAACCGTTAGCGCAGGCGGGTGCACCATTCCATTATCATTCTTTAAAAAAAAAAATACGGGACAGTCAGTCCCGCCGGGACATTTTAAAATAAGCCTAAAATACGGGACGTAAAGGGAAATACGGGCCGTCTGTTAAAGTTAGTAATTCGTTTTATGGCAATTGCGTAAGGTTTTACAATAAAATATCAGAGTCTGTTATAAATCTGCCAGAAAAAAGATTTAAATGTCAAATAAAACAGGTCCTTTGGAAAAAAGCTTACTATAAAATTGAAGAATTCGTTAACGATAATAATGTTTTTATAGAAAAACTTTAAATCTATAGCACTGACAATATTATCTGATTACATTAATAATGAGTGCGTAGCGACTTCTATGTTGATTATCGCATGCCTCTTACTTGTTATACTGTAATTATTTATATAAAAAAAAAACATCTATTAAAAAGAGCAACACACAAGTTTCTTGCCCATTCTTCTTGTGATGAATCTGCATTCAGAATGAGTGGTAGAATAAAAATATGACTATTGTAAAAATGATGGTAATGAGTTTATTTGAATAAAGATTATTTATATTTCTATTTATTTCTATTTCTGGCAACGTTATCACATAGTCTATATGTATAGTTGGTTGTATTTTAATATTTTCTCTATTTGTGTATTTAATTGAATTAGTGCTGATTGGTAGTTTATATTCACACACTTCAACTTAAAAATGTAACAATGAAAGTATTTAAAAGAGCAACACGCAAGTTTATTGCTCGTTCTTCTTGTGATTATTCTTCTTCTGAGACATCTTTCCGAATGAGCGGTAGATTAAAAAAATGTGATGCCTATTCAAAATCGCTTCAATGTAAGTTTATTTGATTTTCTATTCTATTCTATTATGTATGTATTTACAACAGAACGGAAACGGAACTCAGCTTGCAAAGCAAACTAGTAACGGAACTGAACAGACGACATGGAAGTACCCACTGTCTGTTTGGTAAGGAACAACTTTTTAATGGAACTGGTCGATTTCTAGTGAGTACATACGAGCTGCAGTTATTGCCACATACTCCGCATAAAATGAAGCAGTTGACGACGTATCCGAGTTCACAAGGGCCGTTTAGGAACTAGGCGGCCATTGAATTAATGCATAAGAAAGTGTACATCAATAAATTGATAACTTTATGAAGTGGTGGTCACTCAGTAGTGGTTTTGTTTTTTCATGGATGATAATGGAACGGTGCACCCGCCTGCGCTAATGGTTTACGCTGGCGGGGCACCAGTGGAGGATGTGAAAATGGACATAAGATCAGGTCAGTTAGCCATCGTGACAAATTCACCAAGAATTTATCAAGATGGATTCCAGGGGGAACCGCGTGGAGATCAACCTGACATGGTATGCCTATTAGGAAGTAAATTATGGATAAAAAACGTTGTGGGTATACTAAGTTATACCTCAAAGTTTTTCGTAAATTTCTACATTGATGATTCTGAGAGTAAAATAGAATAGTCATCACATTTTTTTAATCTACCGCTCATTCGGAAAGCTGTTTCATCACAAGAAGAACGAGCAAGAAACTTGCGTGTTGCTCTTTTCAATAATTTTATTATTACTTTACATTTCTAAGTTTAAGTGTGTGAATACAAACCACCAATTAGCACTAATTCAATTAAATACTCAAATAGAAAAAACATTGAATATATAACCAACTGGTTAAACAATTAATAAGAGGAAATCAGTCATAGTGATTAGAGCAGACCAGTCCCTACAAGCAGCACCCGTTCACGAGTATGACGGATGAGCCAACCATCACTGCGCTCGACCATATTTTAGGGAGCCTAATGACCCGGCCCACCACGCCGCCACATGTCTGGACATTTTAGTGAGCATGACTACTTAAAACACCAGACCACGTCATAGCTACTCACAATTGCCATCTGATAGTTATAGTATTCACATTTTACATAAGAATGCATGCGGCAATCAATACAAAAACCGCTACGCTTTCATATTTCTAAAATAATTAAATCAAGAAAGCAATGAGATAAATAAATTATAACGTTGTATGCTAATAAACTAATTATTTACTTGATATGTTGTCATCTATGAATTCATTGATCCTGTAATAGGCTTTCTTACACAAAAATTGTCATAATATGACTATTTAAAAGTGCTTGTATTGAGTTGATTTGAATAAATATTTTTTTTTCTGTCTTTCTTTCGTTCAATAGCCAGATTATAGGACAATGACCTAGCCCAATGTATCCCATATTTATTTCTTCCAGCATCCGACGCGGTCAGATAAAAATAAACTGTAGCTGGCGACTACCGTCTCTACTATTGTGTTAATGATTCACAACTCTGTCTACCGTTAATTTTTTTTTTCTTAGATTTTACGATTTTTTTTTATCATTTATAATATAAAAACTAGAGAATCTACCGAATCGATTTGATCTTTCTTTCTATTTTTCGCTCAATATTACCTTTCTTATTTTGTTCTATTCAAATATATTCCATTGAATTGTCTTTGGTCTTCCTTTTTCTTTAAATAGTAATTTATCATTTAATTTACATTAAAAAATAATAAACTGTACATTTAATGTCTATGTATATATTAAACTAGCTATGCCTACGACCTCGTCATTCTTCGACTTTGTTATTTTGGTGTATGTACCGTATTTATATTTATATGCATGTAGTAAATACGGTTCTTTCAATATTACAAACAGACACTACAATTTTATTTATATATATGGATAAGTACAGATATAGATGTAAACTTCAGAATATATTGACGACCTCGGTGGTCTAGTGGTTTAGCACACCGCTTTACTTCCGATGGTCGTGGGTTCGATTTCTCACACGGTACAAACATTTGTATTCATAATTATGATTGTTTGTATCGGTCTGAGTGTTTTTTATGTACATTATGTATGTATTTATAAAATAAAGTATGTATAATATATTTATATCAGTCAATCTGGACGATTCACACAGCGCCTACTGATAGTACATTGTCGCCGCATAGTATGACATTGTCACAATAACATATTAACGGAGTTGTTTCAAAGTTAACATAGTTAAACGAGTTTCAACACGACAGGTAGATACCTATATCTATACATATGAATAAAATTGGAGTGTCTGTTTGTAATATTTAAATAACCGTATTTTACTACATGCATATGAATATAAATACGGTACATACACCAAAATAACATTTTTTCCAATTTTTATCTGTTTGTTTGTTCCGGATAATCTCTGAAATGGCTGGACCGATTTTGACGGGACTTTTTTGGCAGGTTATTATGCATTATTTTATTTTAGACTAGCTACTCACCCCGGCTTCGCCCGGGTATCCATGTATTATGCAAGGAAACCTTCTTTAGTATCTATTAAAAAAAACTGCTTCAAAATCCGTTGCGTAGTTTTAAAGATTTAAGCATACATAGGGACAGACAGCGACAGCGACTTTGTTTTATACAATGTAATAATGATAAATAAAGTTAAATTCCACGCGGACGAAGTCGCGGGTACAGCTACGAGTATTATAGTTTACCATAAAATTATTCGTATTAAAACCCGTTTAACTATATTAATAATGAGTTAGTACTCATTATTAACGCAAATGATTAAAAATAGGTACGGCTTCAAAATATTTGGCATCGTCAATCATCTCAATTTGACAAAGTATCTGTATGTTTACACATATATTAGTGAACTCCATTACAATATAATGAACATCCTATTAAGAAATTATAGTTAGTAAAAACCGAACAAACAGTGTCCACATCTATACATATAAATGAAATTGCAGTCTGTTTGTAATATTAAAATAACCGCTAATACGGTAAATACGGTACATACACCAAAATAACATTTTTTACAATTTTTGTATGTCTGTCTAATCTCTGAAATGGCTGGCCGAGTTTGACAGGACTTATGTAGGTAACTGATGTAATAAATAGAAACTTAGGCTACTTTTATTTTAGAGAAATTCTTTGATTTTAGAAAAATAAAGTTAAAATCCACGCGGACGAAGTCGCGGGAACCGCTAGTATGTTATAAGAATTGTATTTATTACTGAATTTCATATCTAATTTAAACAGATATTTTAAAAAAAATACTCAATGACATTCCAACATTTTACAAGTTGTCAACAATATTCCAAAAGCAGGCGACGCTCTCGAGATAACGATAAGCAAAGTAAACAGTACCTGTAGTGTGCGGGAGCTGCTAGGAACACGTAGTTGGTGTTGTACATGCCCGTGAGGATCATCGGCAGCGCCAGCAGGACCGCCAGCCGCGCCTGCCACCGGCCCCAGCCCGAGCACCACGCCTCGCTACCACCCGACGTCATCCTCTATACAAAGTTACCAACACACTAACACTCCAGCTTATTATCACGGAAACCCGTTATAATATTGTAGTTTCTATTTTAAATCATTTAATAAATATATGTTTTAATTTTCAAACGTTAACGGTCTAATGTTGATTTATTGTTGTTATATTTGCAACGGGAATGGACGTATATGCGTCTGGAAGTCCGACGCAACAGTGCTTGGCGCGGCAACCGTTCAGGACTATTTCAGTGAGCGGTCAGCAGAAGACACGTCCGCCATAAGGTCATGCGGCTTGCGCCGATAACGACCAATAAGCCGAACGAGCCGGTTTGTAACGCGACCCTCCGAGGGTCCGTGATAAGAGGTCCGAATAGTGAGCAGTATTCGCGGCTTCGCTATCTGTGCGTGATCCTTGACCGATAGTGTACAGGTTATTTCAAGATAACAACCATAGTACCACCAGTAGTTTCTTTAACACTTTGAAAGGTGTAGTTTTATAAATATTAATTTGGAGTGAACAAATTTGACCTACTTATCGTATCTGTTACTTTTTACTTTACAGTACCCACTTCCTTAATAATGTTACATATTGGCGTCTCCCTAAACACTATGTTTTATTAAAACTAATGAACTAATCTCTACATAAAAGTAATTATGATAAGTTCCGAAATAAACCAGAATTTCCAAAAAATGTAAATAAATCGATTAGTTTTATAATAAAGTTATTATATATAAAGTTTTAAAATAATTCAGTTATAATTTACGCGCGCGTAACATGTTGCCATAAATTTTACTTCAGGCGCTTTAAATATATAATTAAACATTCAATACAGAATAATTATATTTAATTTTTGGAAAAAATATCATGTATAGTATAAAATATAAGTATCAAAAATTATGTAATAATAGTTATATAATGACGCGGCCGGTAAGACGAGCTCGTAAAATAAGAAAGATATTTAAGTACCTACTCGTATCTCGTCATGTACTGGTAAGTAGGTACTTTAAACTTTCAACTTCTGTCAAGATAAAACAAGAGCGTTTATTACATTGTGCAATTAAAAATGTGGCATACGATTGTGTGGTAGGTATGTTTATAGAATGAATAGGAACCATAGAGAGTTTATAGTCGCTAAATCTATGCTCAAAATATTTTTAATACAACTCCACTCAAAGTAGTGCTGCGGCCAAGACTCAGTGCAGATTTTCAGTACGTGCCGTCGGGTGTGTAGCTTATAATACAAACTGTATCGATCTACTTACATTATTATATGAATCGAATTATAATCGCCAGTGTAAACATAATTACGAACTAAGAATTTAGTTCAAACCCTAAAGGTGCCCTCAGACTTAAGTTGTATCCAGCAGACAACAGTTGGCCTTGAGCCGCTCTATAAGTCCTTCCACTTCCTATGTATATATGTATATAAAAAAAACTTGTGCTTTTCTAGCGACTTAGCACACCGCCTTACTTTCGATGGTTATGGATTCTATTCCTCGCAAGTACAATTTATATTCATGAGTATCATTATTCCTATGTCATTGTTCTATCATTATTGCCAGGGTATTATTATTAGGGTACTATATATGTTTTTTTTTTTAAATATATATAGTTATGTATTTATATCAGTTGTCTTGTACCCATAATACAAGCTCTGCTTAGTTTAAGACTAGATGGCGCTGTGTGTATTCTTCAGGGTTTTTTTATATACCTACTAGTTGTCCCAACAAACGTTGTTTTGCCATATTAATTAAAATCGCTATTAAAAAATAGGGGTCGGTGATAGAAGGGTAAAAATTTAGGGTTGTATGTATTTTTAATGCCTCATTATTATAAAATAAATAAATTGTCCAAAAAAATAAAAACAAAATGTTAGGGATGGTAACAACCCTTATTACTTAGAGGTATGAAAAATAGATAGTAGCCGATTTTCAGATCTGCTGAATATGTATATAAGAATTCATAAAAATCGGTCAAACCGTTTCGGAGTATAGTAACTAACATTGTGACACGTGAATTTTATATATAAGATTATTATTATTATTATTACAACAACTTTGCATTGAGCGTCGTTAGTTCCTATGAATACAAAACTACAATATTTATTATCTCATATACATTAGTCATTAAGCTAAATATAATATGGCCTATATTATATTATATCGCTTGCCACTCAAATTGTAAACCGGAAATGGACTTTAAACTTAAACTTTAAAGTTGATATTCGCAAACGTGGTAATTGTGAGTTAACGCAGTTTGTAATCAGACGTCTGAATTATATTGTTGCATATGTTACTGTTGCCTTATAAATACTATTATTGTTAAAATAAAAGGCCAAACCAAACTCAAACCGTAAAACTAGGGCTTGGCTCAAGGACTAAAGGTTAAAAGAAGTCTGAATTGAACAAAACCTATACGAATTTAAAAATACTTTGATTGCTTCGATTCGAAATTTAAAAACGAACTCGGTGATCTAGCGGTTAACACGCCGATTTACTTCCTCAGTCGCGAGTTCGATTCCTCGCAAGGACAACCAATATTCATGAGTATTATTGATTCTAGTTACCTGGGTGTTTTCAATGTAATATACATTGAATTGAATTGAATGAATGTATTTCCAAAAAAATGTGTTGAAATATTTCTAACACTTGTTTCGTACGATAAGTTCTACGTAACTTGGGCTAGAAGGCGTTGTTTGAATTGTCCTAGGTTATTATTATTATTATTTATATGTATTGATAGACTATTATCATCACGCTGTGAGCGTTTGGAGTCTAACAAAGACGAAGCAACGACGCATGCCTTGGGTTGGATGAGGGGACGAATATACCCGCTATTTCTTTTAAATTAAACAACAAGCGAAACTGTACGGCACAACTAGTGTGCGCTAGTTAATAGATATAAATAAAATTGGAATGTCTGCTTGTAATATTGAAATAATCGTTTTTTACTACATACATCTAAATATATATAACTCAAAGGTGACTGACTGACATAGTGATCTATCAACACACAGCCCAAACCACTGGACGGATCGGGCTGAAATTTGGCATGCAGGCAGATGTTATGACGTAGGCATCCGCTAAGAAAGGATTTTGATTAATTCTACCCCCAAGGGGATAAAATAGGGGATGAAAGTCTGTATGAAACTGTCAATTTTAAACCGATCGGGCTGAGACTTTGCATGCATAAAGCACTACTATGACGTAGGAATCCTCTAAGAAAGTATTTTGATAAATTCCACCCCTAAGGGGATGAAAGTTTGTATAAATCTTCTTAGATTTTGTAGGCCCTAATTTTTTACACACGCTAAACAAAAGTAAAGCAGCAAAAACTACACCTAATTAATAATAATATTTACTACTACGCGAGAGACAGTTAGTATGAATATATATACGGTACATACTTGGTGTATGTACCGTATTTATATTCATACTAGCATGTACAATAATTAGATCCAAAAACAATATGATTCATCAAACATAACAAAACTCTATGGCGCTTGGTTGTGGCGATACAACAATAGGTCGTTGTATAGCAACTGCTACCACATTATAATGATGTTTAGGTATAATATTCGTCGGACGCGTACGTTTCTTATCAATTCGGCCGCGTTCACGTAAAGACATCAATTCTCAGTGTGATATGGAGGAGCGCACAGTGTCAGCCGCCGGCGCCCGCGAGCGCCACTCCAATATAGATGCCGACGTAACGCCAGATCGCATCACGGCAGACATGGGCCGCAGCGCGGTCAGTGACTCCGGCTCCAGCTCATCCAGGCTGTCCGTGACCAAAATATCCCGCGCCCCTGGAGACGCTGACGACGTGCTGGAGACGGCCCTGGACCAACTGGGACCCTTCGGCTTTTACCAGCGTTATGTGATGGTGTTGCTGTGCATACCCAATCTGTTTGCAGTCATGTATAGTTTGAATTACGTGTTCGTTGCTGACCAAGTTCCATTCCGGTGAGTTATGTTTAATGTTTATTAGTCGAAATAATAAGGTTAATTCAATTCAATTCAAATTCAAAATATTTTTCATGTAGGTCATTACGGATACTTGTGATATGTCAAATCTACCGTCAGTTCGGAATGATTTCGAGATGAGAAGAACTGACAAGAAACTCAGCTCGTATTCTTTTCAAATAAATGTTGTACATGTTTATAATAATACACAGTCATTAAAATTCCAATTTGTGAGAATAGAGTGACCACCAGCATATGCTATTGCAAAGAACAAAATATATAATCAGTGTACGCAACCTGAACAGACCAGTCCCCACAAGCAGCACCCGTTCACGAATCACCACGGGCCCACCACGCCGCCACAAGTTTGAACTTTATAGCGAGCATGACTGTTTCAAGTTAAGTTTGTTTAAACTGTTTTAAGTTAAGGTCCACTACAATTATATTATTTACAGAATGACTTTTATTTAACTAATTAAATGAAGTATTGAGCGCATATGAAGCGCTTAAGACCTTCCTTTGGTTTGGAGTGCCATCTGCACTCGCCCCCTGTCGTCCGGTGGAGCTGTAAAGGCCAGCTGCGGCCTGCATTAGTGTAGTCCGAAAAAAAAACTAAATAAATTAGTTGTAATTTGAATAAAATTAAAAAATAGGTATTTTATTAATGACAATAATATAAAGTATGTAGGTCGGTTTATTGCTGAAAATATATACAACTAGACACCTGTTTAATCACAAGTATATTGCTATTGTTATTTCATACTAGCTGCGACCGCGACTTCGTCTGCGTGGAATTTAACTTTATTTTCTACAATAAAAGTAGCCTAAGTTACGACGACCTCGGTGGTCTAGCGGTCTAGCACACCGCTTTACGACCGATGGTCGCGAGTTCGATTCCTCGCACGGCACAAACATTTGTATTCATGAGTATGATTGTTTGTGTCGGTCTGGGTGTTTTCTATGTATAATATGTATGTATTTATAAAAAAAATATCTATGTATATGTATCAGTTATCTAGTACCCATAACACAAGCTTTAGCTAGTTTAACTTGGGTCTAGATGGCGCTGTGTGAATTGTCCTGAGATTATTATTATTATTATAAGTTACTCATTATTACATCAACTACCTGCCACTAAAAGTCACGTCAAAATCGGTCCAGCCATTTCAGAGATTAGCCGTAACAAACAGACATACAGGAAAAATGATAAAAAATGTTGTTTTGGTGTATGTAATTTATTTATATTCATATGCATGTAGTAAAAAATGGTTATTTCAATTTCACAAACAGACACTCCAATTTTATTGATATGTATAGATGTATAAATAAAGGCACGTCACGTTTACTTAAATATAATAATAAAATATCTTTATTGCCAGGAATTAAGTGATATTTAGATTTCTACAGATTCCTCTGCATGATTACATGTTGTAATCATAATCTGCGATGATAAAACACTAGTCACGTGTACACAAAAGAAATATGCAAATACTGTAATGTACGTAATATATATCTACGTGACTATATATATGTATATGAACGAAATGTTACGCGATATATATATAACTAGCTGTACTCGTGACTTCGTCCGCTTGGAATTTAACTTTATTTTTCTAAAATAAATGTATTACATTAGATACCTGCCAAAAAAGTCCTTTCAAAATACGTCCAGCCATTTCAGAGATTAGCCAGAATAAACAGACACACAAAAATAGTAAAAAATGTTGTTTTGGTGTATGTACCGTATATATATTCATATGCATGTAGTAAAATACGGTTATTTCAATATTACAAACAGACTGCAATTTTATTTACATGTATAGATTATCTTATATGTAAAATTCTCGTGTCACAAAGTTAGTTACCATACTCCTCCGACTTGACCGATTTTTATGAAATTTTATAAGCATATTAAGTAGGGCTGAGAATCGGCTACTATCTATTTCGTACCCCTAAGTTATAAGGGTTGTCCACCCCTAACATTATAATTTATTTTTTGCATAACATTTTTTTATTTTTAATATGTGGCATTAAAAATAAATACAACCCTAAATTTTCACATTCCCACCATCAACCCTTATATTCTAATAGCGATATTAATTTAACCGAAAAACAACGTTTGCTGGGTCAGCTAACCTAATATATAAAACTCTTGAGTTCGTAACAAAACCCTCTGAAACAGCTTGACCGATTTTGTTTCTTATTACATTTTGTGTGTAGGAAGTAGACTATATTTTATAGGGTAGCTCACCCCAAAATAGTTTCTATTTTAAACACATTTGATATTATATTTTCTGCGTTAAAAAATACATTCAACCCAAAATTGTCACCGTTTTATTATCAACCCCTATTTTAATAGCGATATTAATAATCGTCTACTCTCGACATTCGATAACTTACAAATAAAAATATTTACCGCCCAACAAGGTATAAGATACTTACAATATAAAATTTCATTGAATAGACCTCTGATACTAAATATTGTTTCTGATTTTTAAACTCAAAAATCTTACATCTAATCGCCAATGAAATAGTTTAAAATTGATCTCGATTTGTTATTCATCAGCTGTGATTTATAAAACACAACACTTGGAGGGAGTTGTCCTTCAGCCGCTCCATAAGTCCTTCCTTTGGTTTGGAGTGCCATCTGCACTCCCAATCGTCCGGTGAAGCTGTAAAGACCAGCTGCGGCCGACAGCATTACTGTAGTCTGAAAAAAACAACACTTGTGACACATATTTGTGACAACGTGACTGTTGTTAGCAGTATGTATGTGTACACACATGTTAATAATTTAACATGCATTACATACATGTTGTTACGAATTTTAATTGCGGATACGATAAAGATATACGAAGGAGCTAACAATGCTAAATATTATTAAAACTCCTCCCAAATAACTAGTAATAAAAACTTCTTAAATTTCGGTTAACTAGTAACGATAACTTCTTAAATAATAATAATAATGTTTATTGAACTAATATTTAGTACAGCCTTGACAATATTCTTGCAAAAATAAAATTGACTTGTAAATAAGTTTTGATAACGTTTACTTTAACGTTAAACAATTCAAATAATATTAAACAACAAACAAATAAAAACGACATTCGTAACAAAATTAATTTAAGTCCTTATTAAATGCATGCTGATGAAACAAAAATAAATATCGGATAACTAGTAACGATAATTTCTTAAATTTCGGATAACTAGTAACGATGCCAGTTGTTCGGAAAAGGAAATCAAATGTTTTGAAATTATATGTCTGTATCGAATAATGGAAGAAGAAATAAATCGATATCTAGGACTACAAAGGTATTAAAGGTATGTAGTCGTAATATTATTATCATAATATATTTTTTATAGATGATAATGGAATGGTGCACCCGCCTGTGCTAATGGTTTACGCTGGCGGGGCACCAGTGTAGGATAATAAGATGAAGTCTGGTCAGGTAGCCCATAGTGACAAATTCGCCAAGAATTTTTCACGATGGTTTCCAGGGGGAACCGCGTGGAGGTCAACCTGACATGTTACATTACTTGCAATAAGATCCACATAACCAACAATCCCCATATATATTGGATATCATAACATATTAGATTCTGTATTTTATGTTAAATTAATTACACATTATAGCTGGCTACAAAAATACACATGTATAAATTTATAAATTGTTATTTATGTAGAGTTTTCGTTGTCAACAATGCAATCCTATTGTTTTCATTAGTTCTGTCATAACACTGTTATGTGTAACAATTTAGCAATAATCTATACATATAAATAAAATTGCAGTTTATGTTTGTAATATTGAAGTAACCGTTATTTACTACATGCATATGAATATAAATACATACACCAAAATAACATTTTTTTACAATTTTTGGCTGTCTGTTTGTTCCGGCTAATCTCTGAAATGGCTCTACCGATTTTGACGGGACTTTTATTGGCAGGTAGCTGATGTAATAAGGAGTCACTTAGTCTACTTTTATTTTAGAAAAATTCTCTAATTAACTTTTTTGTTAAATTCCACGCGGACGAAGTCGCGGTACAGTTAGTTGTAAATATAAATTGAATCCGTATAAGGAACGGTAAGGAAATATGAACAAAGACACTTGACGTTCAAAAGCGGCTAAAATGTCCTACAGGAATAAATTATTTTTGATTCGATTTTATAATTAAACACTTTTATGTGGGACTGTGTATAGAGCGCGGGGGTGGGTGCAGCCAACGATGGTGGTAATTAAAGATGCAATTTGTAAAAGTAACAGTATATTATAAAAATATATGTCGTAACAAACTATATGAAAGCAAGAGCAATAGAAGAGCTAATAAAGGAATAACAAAATCATAGCAACCAATATATAACATAAATATTTAAAAATAAGGTATTGTCGTACCAGTCAGCGGCCCGAATGTAAGGAGTGATGTACAACTTTCAAATTCAAAATATCTTTATTCATGTAGGTCTATTACAGACTCTTATGATATGTCAAATCTACCGTCAGTTCGGAATGATATCGAGATGAGAAGAACTGACAAGAAACTCAGCTCGTATTTTTTTCAAATAATAGTGGAACATGTTTATAACAATTCACAGTCATTAAAATTCAAAATTGGGAGAATAGCGTGACCTCCAGCATATGCTATCGCATATGCATTTTCATAAAATACAATTTGCATTGTGTACTCAGATAATAGATAAAACTAAGTGTAGTTTTGTCTATCTAATCAAAATAACATTCCAGTTGAGTTTCGTGCTAGTCCTATCCGCCTGTAATGGCTGGCCGAACTGGATGTATCGTTTATAAAAAGTCAATAGGTATTTTATGGGAATAGGTATAAAAATTTACAATAACATACCGAAGGATATATTGGAATTATCCTTAAATAAATTCAAAACAACTGTTAAATCATTTAATGAGCAAGGCCAATTACTCACTAAACGATTATTTGAATGACGAGCGTGCATGACAATAGTTGTTCATGCACGGGATTTTCATTTAAAAAAATAGAACCTATATAAATATAATGTAAATAAACTGGCTTTAAAAAAAATTCGACGTTCATAAGAACGGAAAAAAATTAAAATTATAATGTAAAAAATTCGACGTCCATAAGCGGCTAAAATGAATATATGATTTTTGAATTTGAATTTGAATTTGATGGTAGGAATAGTGATAGAAAATATGACATGCACAAGAGGCCCGAAGGTCCTATGTTTATCAATTATTTTGACTTTGACTTTAACCACAGATAACATAATCTTTAACTAAACAAAAACTAAACTTTATTATATTTAAATATTTACCTACCTTTAAAACCATTAGGAACCGTTTCCTAGAATATTCCTGCTATCCTTTTCAAACATATTACTGGGACTCGAAAAGTTCAGTTGTCTAAAGTAATATTATAAAACGAACACCAGTGCAGGTACTTTTATTAGTAACTAGCTGTACCCGCGACTTCGTCCACGTAAATAATGAATAAATATTTAATGACCTAACCCAATAAAAGCCAAATAAAAAGATTCATCGTTTTAGCTACAAAATTCCGTATAATTCAATCATTAGCCTAAAAAATAAGTTTCAAGCATCTATTTTTGATAATGACGACACTTGTGACGAATTTACATTACATTCATCCCTTATTTTATTTTACCCCCTTAAGGATATTTTTTTTAAAAACTTTGAATGTCATATTTATTTATATTTAATCAACCGCCTCAAAAATAAGTTTCAAGCTTCTAGCTTAAAAATTACAGTTCTGATTCTTCCATACAATCTTTCATCCCCCCTTTCAACCCTTTACAACCCCTTTTTCGCATTAAAAAGTAGCCTATGTCCTTTCTCAGGGTCTAGACTATCTGTGTACCAAATTTCATTTAAATCAGTTCAGTAGTTTTGACGTGAAAGCGATACAGACAGACAGACAGAGTTACTTTCGCTTTATAATATTAGTAAGGAAGTAAGGATAAGGATTAATTAACTAATATATTTTTATTTAAAATTTACACATCTATAAATTGTTGCAATTAAATAGTAGCCAATAAAAACAATGGAACACATATAGAGGATAAAAAAAGAAATAGGCCAAAAAGGATGGAGGTCGCCACAAAAGAAGCGGCAAAGAATACTATAAAATAAAAAAATAGTTTCCAATAATAATATTAACTGGAAATCTGGACATTTCACTAACAACTGTGTGTTTTCTCCAAATAAATTCATCTCATTTCATTTCCCAAAAACATACTAAGAAATGAACATTATCAGTAAGTAACATATTGACTTTAATCATGCGCTCGCAACAGTGATATCTGGTGTGTTGGTATTGTGGTTGTTATGATATAGATATGTATACTCGTTTGTAATGAATTGTTGTGTATATATGTTGGTAATAACAGTGTATTTCCGTAATTAGGTAAAGACACAAATATCTGCGATGGTTTTCTAAAAATACACAACGGACTCCTCGTCTATATTCTATATTCGTCACAGTGGGTACGTACAGACCTACCTACTTATCTTATCGTGATGTCGCACGATAAGTGCCACCACACCGCACCGCCGCCGCTCAGCATCTGTAGCATCGCCGCGCCGTCCTGCTCATATCATATCATACCACATAACAAATCTATACATATAAATAACATTGGAGTGTCTGTTTGTAATATTGAAATAACCGTTTTTACTACATGCATATCAATATAAAAATATTATTTTTGCCTGTCTGTTTGTTCTAGCTAATCTATGAAATGGACCGATTTTGACGAGACTTTTATTGGCAGGTAGCGGATGTAATAAGGAGTAACTTAGGCTACATTTATTTTAGAAAAGTAAAGTTCAATTCCACGCGAAGTCGCGGGAAAAACTACAAGCTAACAGCTTGTTAATTTATATAATGTCAATACATTAATGAATTATTTAATTAACATGTCAATAACCTCAGTTAATAATCAAATCGTATAGATAATCATCATTAAATTCATTTATAAAAACAATTAAAATTTCAGTAAAATTAACAGAATAAAAATAAATATTAAATATATTATATACTATCTGTGCCCGCGGTTTTGTCCGAGTGACATTTATATTATATAATGTAAAGTTTCATTAAAATCTAACAAACATCCATCCAATGAAACAATGTGTATAATATCAGGTAAGATTAGACTTATATTATTATATGTATTTTACATGTTTTATTTTGTATACACAGACTTTAGGTACACAAAATAAATTATATTAAAACTATGTAATCTGATTAATATGGGTGATAAAGATAAAAAATACACTAAAATACACAACATATATACTTATACACTCATTTATATATCTATTACAGATAGATGTATAAATGAGTGTATAAGTATATACTACTATACTCGATCTTTCAATCTTTTTTCAAAGCATGTAGAAATTTTTCCAATGGAGAAGACAACGTCGAAGGCTACGAGTATGTACATACATGTATCTTACATTACTAACTAAATAATAAAATGTTTGAAATATTGTAGTAGGTATATAGGTAAGTAACAATGTGTTCAACAATATTTCAAACAGCTTCCTTTCAACGTGTCGATATTTTACACAGCTCTTAATTAATATATTCGTTCAACATTATTCGAGGCCCAATTTCACCGAGGAAACTAATTGAGTTTAGTTCGAGCTAAACTCAGTTAAAACGTTTAAACGAGTTTAACTTTATTTTGCATTTCACCGCTACAATCTGAACATAGGGTGCTGCTTGTAGGGACTGGTCTGCTCTAATCACTATGACTGATTTCCTCTTATTAATTGTTTAACCAGTTGTTGTGTATTCAATATTTTTTTCTATTTGGTTATTTAATTAAATTAGTTAATCGGTAGTTTGTATTCACACACTTAAACTTAAATTGTAAAGTAAGAATAAAATTATTTAAAAGAGCAACACACAAGTTTCTTGCTCGTTCTTCTTGTGATGAAACAGCTTTCCGAATGAGCGGTAGATTAAAAAAAATGTGATGACTATTCAAAAGTTCTTCTATGTAAGTTTATTTGAATAAATGATTTTCTATTCTTCTATTCTATTGTTAGTTTTTGTTTAACTCGTTTATAAAATCTGTCTGATTTCCTACGGTTACCTCTTAAACGAGTTTAACGAGCAGCTGTGACTTTTCAAATAGTCATGAATAAAATTTTTGACAATATAATATCGGAAATAAATACAAAATTGCCAGCAGTGTAAAAATAATAATATTATTTTATGAACGTGCAACACTGTGAACGAATCAAAATCTAAATTTCGTTTTGGTAAACGCGATCTACAATATAATGCTGGTGAACTCCATTTAAGTATATCGAGATCAACGTCGATCTTTAAACTAGTTTACGCTAAACTCAGTTTCCTTGAACTAGTTTATACTGTGATTCGTGAAATCCAGCCTTCGGGAATTTATCATTTCTCAAATTAAGTTTGTGAAAGCATGAGAATGAGTAGAGGTCACTTGGCCCAATGTAGAAATACACCGGGAATTATTCCCAGTTAATATATGGCACAACAAAGATTTCATTCATAGAATGCTCGTTACTATACCACTTCCTTGATATATGAACTCGGTGATAATAAGGTAACCTTGCCTGAAAATAAGGTGCATTCTTTGTGAAGAGTACAGGGCTCAACAACTTCGCTATCTTATCAGATGTGTGCAATCCCAATGTTCGAGTAGCTCTTCGGAAATACCTTATAACATATGTATAACTTTAGGTGCTCACCTAAATGTACTTTATGTACATATTGTATATAATAATCCTATAAATATATATGTAAATCCTTGCTGATATTATAAATGTGATAGTAGGGATGTTTGTTGCGCTTTCACGCAAAAACTACTGAACCGATCATCATGAAATTTTGTACACATGTTCTTAGAGGTATTAAAATGAACTTAGGACACTTTTTATTTAGAAAATAAAAACAAATATTTTTATTAAAGACAAAAAAATAAAATCTCCTGATCAAACTAATACGTCCATTGCGTATATAATTTTATTTGTAATATTTTAACATAATACTATAAATTTGTCATTTAGGTTTTGTTCAATTAAAAAGAAATTCAGTGTAGTTTCTTGCCAGTTCTTCTGAATTAAATCTGTATACTGAACTGAACGGTTGGAAAAAGTATTAATTATAAGAGAAAACTTCACGTTCATAAGCGGCTAAAATGTCCTACATAAGAATCAATTGTTTCTATCATTAAAGAAAACAATTTAATCAGCAGTCGTAACCCTGAACAGACCAGATATAACAATTTGTGTATGGGTACCAACTGGCGGCCGTCACAGGACAAGTGCCCCAAGAAATTTACTGTTTGAAATGACACCTTTCAAATTTCAATTTTGATTAAATCATATATGACATCTAGTTCCAACAAAAACCTCAGACGGAAGATTTTCGACAGACCCTCATGCTTGGTTTGAAATGTACCAAAAATATTTCCCACTTTTTGACCCTATTCTCCCAAGTTACCTAAAATTTGGGGAAAATTATCAACGCAGGTAATATTTTATGCCGAAACCCATCGCCGCCTTATTGAAGCCGACTCGCTACGGGTTTGCCGTGTACCCCAAAATTGTTGTTTCATGTAGTTGATGTAAAATTTCAGGTGCACAGTGCCTGAGTGCGAAGGCCCGTACAGTAACTTCGCCAATGAGACGGCGACGGCGCTGCTGCCCAACGTCACCTGCCACCGGTACGAGCCCTTACAGCCGGACAAGACTACCTGCGACAGGGACCACTTCCACAGCAGCTCCATCATCAATTGCGAGCACTTCGTTTACGAGAATCAGAACACCATATTTGCAGAGGTACTCTCATTGTCTGACTTTTGTTTTTATTTATTTTGTAATTAGAATGGTAAATAAACTGACGGTCCACCTGATGATCAAATTCAAATTGAAAATTCATGTTGGACTTTTAGCAATCAATTTTTTTATATAATAATTTCCCTACCATCCAGTTCAGTATAGAGATTCAACTGAGATGAACTAGCAAGAAACGCAGTAGAATTACTTGTATTTTTTAAGCCAGATTCTTTACAATGTTTACTTATATAGGTGTCTATGCGCTCGCGTTCGTCCCGGAAGTAATCGTTTAGTGAAGTTTTAGTATTCGGGTTTGTTCTGCTGATGAGAGGTTACCGTCACCTATATTCATTCTAATCACGGATCATGTATGCGTTGCCCTTCAAGACTAAGATATTATAATCCTGTAATTTCAGTACCTTATGTAAATATTAATCCCTTCAACTGAGGCTTACAAAGCAAGCTGTTTGCCGGCTGCGTAATCAAGATAGAGGTTATTATATATTTTATGTCTCATCTTTCAACCACCACGCTCACATTAGCTGTCTTTATGCCTAATGTAAACTTACAACGATTGTTTAAAAGAGCGACACTCAAGTTTCTTGCTCATTCTTCTTGTGATGAAACAGCTTTCCGAATGAGCGGTAGATTAAAAAAATTGTAATGACTATTCAAAAGTGCTTAAACTAAGTTTATTTGAATAAAGGATTTTCTATCTATTTTACACATATGCTCTTTTACGCGGGAAAGAATGTATATGTAAATGTAGATGAATAGAGCGAGGAAGACCACCAGCACCGCCAGCTAGCGCATTCTCGCGTTCTTCAATCACGCACGCTCCTGATTGTGCGTGAAAGAATGTGTCGTGTAACGACAACTATAAAGACATGAGCCGGATAGCCCCTACACGTTGGTAATGGACGTGGGTGTGTGTGTCTGTTACAGTTCGACCTGGCGTGCCGCGAGTGGATGCGTACGATGGTGGGTACGGTGCGCAATGCTGCGCTACCGTTCGCCCTCATACTCACCGGTTACATGTCCGACCTGTTAGTACGTATTCAATTATATGTTACACCAGCACACACGGGCAACATCCTCTAGGTTTTTTTCGGATTACTCTAATGCTGTTGACCGCAGCTGGCCTTTACAGGTTCACCGCCGATAACAAACTCACGGAATGACTTCTGGAGCGGCTGAAGGCCAACCTGCCTGACTTATACGACTTTAGTCTTTAGAGAGTTTAAACCTCCAATCAAGCCGTCATAATTTAGATTCTAGTTGAATTGGACGGAGGATCGATCGATACCTGCCAGCGTATAGCGTTAACGCAAGGAGGTGCACTGCACTCACGATATACGCTGGCAGTTCACCGGTGAAGGATGTTAAGAGAGTGAGTGAGTGAGATGGAGATTAAATAACCAGATATTGGCTACAATATCTCCAAGGGGAACTATGTGGCGGTCGATCTAATACAGTACTATCAATGGTACTAGCCCTATATTCTTATAATCCCCTTCTCCCAAATCCAGACATTACTTCTTATGATCTCATAATGCTCGTTATAATATTAGTATAGATACACACTATACAAATACACAAGGTTACCATGTTGCCATCAATTTCACTGACTGCTTGCTGGCCACTTACAGTTCCACAAACTTGATCTATGAGATATTAAACACTACAGAAGAGAAAAAGTAAAATAAAAAGAAACCCAGTGACAGCGTTGCTGTTACAGCGTCATGCTCAACTACACACTTGATATCCAAATGGCTAACATCATGATTATGACTACGAATAATGGATTCCTACTTTAAACGTTTTTATATCGTGTCGTTTCAGACGTGGTCGCCGCACAGCGTTCTGCGTCTTCTCAGCTTTCGCAGCCATCATGGGCATTATAAAGGCTTTCTCCATCAACTACTACATGTACCTGACGCTGGAGTTCTTGGAAGCAGCACTGGGCTACGGGTTCAATAGTGCTGCCTACGTCATGAGTAGGTTCTTACAAATTATTAAAATGATATAAATTTATTTTCTTAAATTCCGATTGATTTTTGATGGTTGGAATGTTTGTTTAAGAAGGCCGTCGCTTGCTTGCTTTTTCAGTTAGATTAAGACTTAAGGGGGTCTTCCTATGTGATGGGTTGAAAAAATCGATTTTTTTTTTCATAAATTGCTCCCTTAACATGTCTAGAATACGGTAGTAAAGCGATTTTAGAAAATTCGAAGTCGTTTTAAAGATACAGCAGGTAAAAGAAAGAGCGGTTCGGAGCGGTGAGTTGGCAGTTAGAGACCGGGCCTATTGTGTACCGTCGGCTTTATACCTGGCCTCCCTTTTATTAATATATTTGTTTATACAAGTTTAGACACGTTTCTACAGACTTAAACAGAAATTTCTATTGTTATAATATTTTACAAAATTCTACGGATTAGCAATTCGACGCCATCCAGATTCGCTTGAAGATATGAGAAAGGAAGTTTGGGCAACGTACTATCACAAATGTTCTTCTGATGAAAACCCTCAGCATCAATTTTGTCCAGAAGGCGAAGACAGTTGGTGTAAATGGCGTAAGGCTGAAGCTAATAATGAACTGGACCAATTTCATCACGATAAACCACCTCTAATTCCGCAAGTCCAAGAAGCTATCAAACCGGTTTTCGAAGATTTATCGAAAGACGAATTATTAATTCGTTGTTTAGGAGCAGAGACACAAAACAATAACGAATCTTTGAATTCTTTGATTTGGACTTTCGCTCCTAAACATCTTCATTCTGGTCCCAAAGTTGTTGAAATTGCTAGCTACTTAGCAGTTATTATCTTTAATGAAGGTTTTCAAGGTATTTTAAAAGTTATGTCGATTATGGGATGCCCTGTTGGTCGTGAAGCCCAAGCGTATGTTGAGAAACGGGATGAAAAGCGAATCTTACGCTCTGAGCGGCGCGTAAGTGATGTCGTTAAACAAGCCAGGATTGACTCAAGAGCTGAACAATCTGCTTTAAAAGAGTTTCACGAGGAAGAGGAAGGAATACTCTATGGACCAGGCATCGCCGATTGAGAGTAAGTTGATATTTTAATAGTTTTTAACGGACTTGAAACTTTAAACGCGTTTTTCCAAAACTGTGTTTTTCAAACTTTCCTCCATTGTATCTCAGAAACGGCTGGACCGAATTACTTGAAATTTACAGGGCACACTCAATATATGTAAACGCATGGAATGAACTATTATCAATCGAAAATTTTCAAAACTTCGATTTTTTTATAGCAAAAAACAAAAAAAAAAAACGCCTAATTTGCAACTTTTATTTCAAATGTCTATCAAAAATCAAATTTTTTTTATATTCATTTGATTATAGGTCATTCCGTGCTTTTAAGCCTACAAATTAAAACGCCGTTTTTTTTTTTTTTTCAGATAAGCCGATCAGCCGGAATCGTGGAGGAAGTGGGAGCTCTTTTTTTCGAGGCGGGGGTGTTCAGAGCGCTGTAACTCTAGTTTGACTGAATATTTTTAGCTGAAATTTTATATTTATACTGTCCTGTATATATGTGTTAATAAATGATAAAAAACTTGAAGCTCTAAATATTTACTGGTCGTAGAAAAAAAATCCTAAAATATCCCTAAAAAACAGGCCGTCACATAGGAAGACCCCCTTAAGCTCGCATTATTCTATTGAGGGAACTAAATAATAAAGTATTGAATTGGACTGAATGGTACCACAAATGACACGTCATTCTCTTGATAGAACAACAAATTACAGCACTACAATTTATTATTCTACTCCTTAGCCCTTCTGTTCGCTTTCTCCCCCTTCTGGGGCTATGCGGATTACACATATAGAGCTTCGGTGTCGGGCAGCAGTTCCTTCTTCTATGGCGTGTCCTCTTCATGGGCGGGTACCACTTAACAGTCCTCTTGTACTCGCTCCGCCTCTGGTGCCACTGATCAGATAACCCAACAGTTTGGTATTCTAATTTAAATGAAACGCTACATATTATAACAATATTGGAATCCAGTGGTGGAATTGGCGCGGCCGTCTCTGCGCGCGGCGTTTATCTGCGCAACAGGCGTGGCATACGGTCTGGGCGGCGTGATGTTCGCGTTCATCGCCCGCGGCATCCCGTACTGGCGGCACCTGCTGTGGACCATCCACACGCCGGCCCTGCTGCTGCCCGTGTACCGGCTGCTGGTGGACGAGAGCCCGCGGTGGCTGCACGCGAGGGGCCGCACGCGCGACGCCGCCAACGTTATACGTAAAGCGGCCAGGCTCAACAAGGTTGCTTTTTCTTTTTATTTAATATCATCTTTTTTTATAACATACTACAAAAGATCTGTCTCTCACCTGATGGTAAGTGGGAATTGCGGATATACCCGGGGATTTGCAAGCAGGAATTATCAAGAACAATAAGCTCTTTTCTTAAAGGTTTCAATTTCGAATAGTTTGGAATAGAAATAGTAGATTTCTACCCATGGGGGATAAACGAGCTTCGGCTCACTTAATGGTAAGTGAATACCGCCGCCCATGAGCATCCGCAACACCAGGCGAATTGTAAGTTCGTTGCCGATTCGCTTACAAATATCTAAATATAACTATCGAGGTACAAAATCGTCTACATTGATTACCGGTGTATCCCTAGTTTCGATTGATGCGTGAGATGTGGCAGTGAAATTACAAATACGGAGGTACGATAAACATGATGTTGCCGACATTTCGTCAAACAAACATTCGCTTGTTTGTATTAGTTATATAACAAAAATAATAATAAAGGATTTCACCTGGAGAATTAAATGTAATTCTAATGTTCTGACAAATGTAGTCACTACCAAATCACTAGTAGACAATGCTTCTAACTTCCCCATCTGATAACAGTAGCTTGTAGTCGTGTGTTTAGGTACTGGTGTACCATAACTAACGGGTGATGTGACTGTCATTGTAGTGGTAAATTTTGCTGTTTAAGGTGATACTAGACGAAGAAGTGATAAAGGCCCTGGAAAACGACGAGGTGAAGAAGGAAGTGAGAGAGAGCAGCGCGTGGATGGCACTGGTGAGGTCCCGCGTGCTGATGACGCGGTTCGCGCTGTGCTGCTGGTGCTGGATCGCGTCCACGTTCGTGTACTACGGCCTCACCATCAACTCGGTAACGCTGGCCGGCGACAAGTACGTCAACTTCGCGCTCAACATGGCTATGGAGATCGTCGCCTCGCTCCTCATCATGATGGCCCTCGAGAGGTTCGGCCGCAAGCGCAGCATATTCGTCGCGTTTCTGCTCTGTGGCGTAGCTTGCGTCGTGCCATATTTTGTTTGTAAGTTCCTCTCGATTACGAATCTGAACTATTATTTTGAAGTGTTTAGTTTTATTTATTTTTATCTCTTTTTAAATGTTTTTTTCATTGTTATCCACAGACATAAGACCACTGCTCTTATTAATTCGTTCATTTAAAGTTATTTCGCTGTGGTACTATGCATCTCTTTTTAAAATTTACAATATAATTAACATCAAAGTTAAAATTATAATAGAATTTCTATTTTGTCTATAATGGGAAAATCCAAAAATATCTTAACCATCTTAAAAACTAATTCACCTATACAAAGCTATTATCAGCGAATATTATGAGCTGTTATTTATTATTGCAATAATAAATCCCTGGTAATCTCATTTAATTCTGCCTCTCAGCAGCAACACAAACTGTTTCTGTCTGAAGAATGAGATACGGCACTAAAATTACAGGGTACGCTCGCGTAACAGCTTGGACCTCTGGAATAACAACACTTAGAGAGACTTGAGAGGTCTCCCAATAATTCACTGCTACGGTTACCACTGCCATCAGTTGAGGAGCCGTTAGCAGTTCCATAAATAAATTTTATTTTTTTAATTCTTTTATGCGTCACGCTGTTGAGTTGACTGTAAGGATCTTTTTGAAATGAAATTTAGGGACAGCGTCCACCTTTGTTCTGGTATTGTAATTGGTATTCTAATTAATATAACATTATGAGGGAAAGGGGATTGTTAGTAATGTGGATTGATGATCTTATTGCTAGCAATGTACCATGTCAGGTTAACCTATACGCGGTTCTCCCTGGAAACCATCATGATAAATTCTTGGTAAATTTGTCACGATATGCTAACTGACTTGATCTCATGCTCATCTTATCATCCTCCACTGGTGCCACAGCGTAAACCGTTAGCGCAGGCATCGTTCCACTGATGACGGATGATCCGTAAAAAATATGATATTGTAAAGTGCGTGTTGTGTGTTGGGTGCAGCCAGCTCCCGGCTGGGCTTCTTCTTCCTGGGCAAGCTGGCGATCACGTTCGCGTTCAACTCTGTGTACGTGTTCACGGCGGAGCTGTTCCCGACGCACGCTCGCAGCTCCGCGCTGGCCGCCTGCTCCCTCGTCGGACGCGTCGGCTCCATCCTCGCGCCGCAGACTCCGCTCCTGGTCAGTACACTACAATACACATGTGTTAACTATACTCTATATCCGGTAGATGTTATTGTGAATGGTGACTATTGATAGCCCCATTGTTTTGATAATAACTAGTGGTTGGTTTCGCGACTAAAAACCTTAATACATCTTTAAAGTGAACATATATTTTTGAAGTGAAATTTCTATAATAAACCTATATAGAAGTTTTATTTGAAAAATATACAAAGATTTTTGAACTCGCAACAATAATTAAACAAAGGTTTATGTATGCATGTGTATGTCAAATACAGTGTGTGTAATGTTTTTTTTTTATTTAACTAATGTATTTTTTATGCATATTTGAAAATTACACTGTACAGTTATATGTTTGTTCTATAGTCAGATGTCCTCCTTTTTACAATACTAATTAATTATTACAAAAAGCAGCTATAAGTCATAATTCAACTCAAAAAAGAAGAACGGAATGCGCGAGCGCGCGGTTTGTCTCGTTCTCTTTGCCTATCGCCTTTGTTTATCTTCTTTCTGTCTCTTCTTTCCTGCGTGAAAGAAGATTCGCACGTGATAGAGCGTAAGTGTAAAGGCAGCTTTATAATAATAATAATAATAATAATAATTTATTTGCTTAAAAAACACAGTATAAAAGATGGTAATTAAAACTTAGTATCATGTGTTTTGCCATAGTAATGGCATGCAAAATAGTATTGTTTAAAATTATGCATAATTAACTATACAGAAAGAAATAATAATAATAATTATAATAATAGTTAAATAGGATCTCTCTAGTCGGTATTTATACATTGTCAAAAAAATTGTTTAAACTGTAAAATTCCTTATTTTTTAACCATTCTCGTAATGTCTTCTTAAATAATATTTTCTTATTCGTCTTTAATGTCTCAGGAATGCAATTATAAATTCTTATACACATATTTTCACAGTTTTTTGTGTACTGTGTCATTGTATGGGTTTTAGCAAGTACCAATCTATTAGGATTTCTGGTATTTCTTGGATAAATGTCCTTTGCTTTCGTAAATGAATTTAAATTTTGTTTTACAAAAACAGCTGCCTCATATATATAAAGCGATGGAAGCGTCAGTAGTCCAAGTTCTCTGAAACGTGTTCGACATGACTCGTACGGTGCAAGACCACACAATGCTCTAATACACTTTTTTTGAGCAATGAATGCCCTATTAATATTTGTACCATTTCCCCATATTAATAGTCCATAACGCAGTACAGATTCCACGTATGCATGATATGCAGTAAGTGCAGTCTTTCTGTTCGTTATGTTTTTAACACGCTTCATTGCATATATAAACTTATTAATTTTGTTACTAATATTTTCGATTTGTTTTGTCCAATTAAGTTGTTGATCTATCATTATACCCAAAAATTTTGTTTCATTAACTGATTCAATTTGTATATTTCTGTAGTTAACATTAAGATGACAGATTTCATTTTTCAATTTATTAAAATTAATATAATTAGTTTTATTTACATTTATTGTCAAATTATTCATGTCAAGCCATTTAATTATTAGGGTTATAGTTTCATTTATATCAATTTCGTGGTCTTTCAATGTTTTATATTTTTTATCAGTAGTTACTATAATAGAAATGTCATCTGCAAAGACAATGCATTTATTTGTAGTTATTTCAATTAAATCATTAATATACAGTAAGAATAGTATGGGCCCCAATATACTTCCTTGTGGAACTCCATATTTATTTGATCTGTATCCAGAAGAATAAGGTGTGACAATATTATATTTATCCAATTTTGTGATTGTTACACATTGTTTTCTATTGTTAAGATAAGAAGCTATCCAATCCAGGACAAGGCCTCTTATTCCAACGTTTACCAGTTTATTCAACAATACTTTGTGGGATACACAATCGAAAGCTTTTGAAAGATCGAAAAATACAGCTGTAGTGTATTTTTTGTCGTTTATATTTGTCAAAATTGTTTTTATGAGAGAAAATGAGGCAAGTGTTGTCGACTTATTTTTTTGGAACCCATATTGGTCTTTTGAAATTATTTCATATTTGTTACAGAAATCCATTAATCGCGTCAACATGCATTTTTCAAAGATCTTTGAGAAAATTGGTATTAATGTGATTGGACGATAATTTGCCATATCATCTTTATTACCTTTCTTATAAAGGGGTTTTACTATGGATGCTTTTAAAAGCTCAGGGAACGTTCCGCTTGAGAAAGATAAATTAATTAGGTGAGTTAAAACATCTATTATCTCGTCGATGCTGTCTTTTATTATTTTTGTACATATTTCATCATATCCTTCAGAATTTGTATTATTTAATGATAAAACCTGTCTTTTCACTTCGTTCTGTGAAACTGGTTTTAGAAACATTGAGTGACTCACAGTTCGTTTAGAGTTCATTTTATAATATTCCTCTTTGTATCCATTTGTTATGTCAATAAAATGGTTGTTGAAAGCTGTGGCTATGTCTGTAGGTTTTGTCAATACTTTATTACTAGTCTTTAAAATATTTATATTATTATCACATGTCATGTTGTGGATTTCATTTGTTATAATAGTCCAAGATGCTTTGCATTTATTTTTACTCCTGTTAATGAATTTAATGTTTGCGTTTCTTTTGAGATTATATATACATTTTTTTAATACATTGGAGTATGTTTTATACTTAGTTTTATTTTCTAAAGTCTTATCTTTGTAATATTTATATCTCAGTGATCTTTTTGCCCTACTGCTAAGCCTTATGCCTTTACTAATCCAACTGATCTTTAGCTTATTAAATGTATTAATTTTAATTTTTAATTTTGGGAAACACAATTTATAAAATTCCCTTATCGATTCATGAAATCTATGAAACGCTACATTTAAGTTGGATTCTACGTAAATATCAGACCAGGAAAGATTTTTCAGACACTCACGAAATTTCAGAATATTTTCTTCTCTATAGTCTCTTTTATAAATGTAATAAGATGCAGGTTTCAGAGGCTTGACCCCAACCGGAAAGCTTAACAATTGGGCAGTTTCGTGGTCAGATAAGTGAAGTGGTAGCACTTTTGCAGTTGCACTTCCTATATTACTTAGTACATGATCTATACAGGAATCTTTTCTAGTAGGCTCATTAATATGAAGTTTCAGATTGTAATTTTGAGCTAGATCTTTTAGGTAATTTGATGCTGTTCCATGTTTTAATGTATTTATATTAAAGTCCCCTGCCACAACAATTTTTAGCTTCCCGTTATATTTTTTTGATATTTGATGTAGTAAGCAATCAAGTTTATTTAAAAATGTACAGGGGTTAGATAAAGGTGTCCTGTAAAGACAGATTACAATAATTTTATTTGGTAAGATTTCCATGCCACAGCATTCGAAGATTTTTTGTACTGAATGCTCTTTTATAAATGGCAATTCTTTACATAATAACCTCTCCTTAGCCAGAATACAAGTCCCACCTCTTTGCCTATCTCTACAGAAATTAGTAACCATATTGTAGTTATAAAGTTTTAGATAATTATCGTTTCCCTTTTTTAAAAATGTTTCTGTTAAACATATAATATCCGGTTCATTGCACGTGTCTTGTAGGTCGTGTAACGTTATTTCTAATAATTCTCTTTTAGAAAAAAAACTAGCAATATTTTGATGAAGAATATTCATATATATCTCTGTTTCATGTTTAGCCTCGAAAAAATGTTGTCGGATTTACAACTGGGAAGTAGTAAGGAATTGTTCCCTTTTTGTGTTTCAGTTTTTTTGAATGAATATCAGAACATGAATCGTCGTTTTCTTTAGTTTTATGGCCAAAATAATAGGGGATTGTTCCTTTCTTCCACGTTTGAATTTTTGACTTGGCACTTGCCCTATTCAATGTTATAAGTTTCTTTAATTCTTTGTGATTACAATAAATTCGGTCTTAATCAATACAGTCAATAGTATAATTAATGGATTTACAGATGACAGTTAAATCTTTAGAATAGCATTTTGTGAAATAGCAGTTAATATATTTGTCACATATTTTTTGGATACTATTATTTAGCATATTTATATTCATTGACTTATTTTTTAAAAGATTTAGAACTACGACAGAACACTTTAATTTGTTTAGTGTTAGTTCAAGTTCCTCCAAAGTATGTCTAGGATTTGTATCATTTTCTCCAATACATATTACTATCTTGTCGTCTTTATGTGCCTTTATATCGCGGCAACTATTTAATACTTCGAAAGAAGGTGCGTACGGTTTTGTATAGCCTGATACTTCATATTTTTGATATACTGTATTTTGTCGAGAATGTATTAAAGCTGAAGCTAATCCAGTGCATTGTTGTGTACTGTAAATGTATATATATTTGGAGTTGGTATTTTGTTTGCTTCGAAGTGATGTATTTTCGAGTGTAAACCTTGTCTTATTAACTCCATTGTCAGGCTTATGCAACTTCAACTCAAGTATTGTAATTTGTTTATTTAGATCCTTAATACACTCATTAGATCGCGATAGTTTTTGTTCGAGTCTTGATATCTTATTTTCTAGATTCATACATTCTTTAAAATTGGTTTTGGGCGTGCTGAAATTATTATCTGGAGGGGTCTTCGTTGGTGTGTTTGTGCATCGTAAAATGTTGTACTTATTTTTTTTATTTGAGTTAGTAATGCTTTTATTTAATGGTGAATGACATAAATTTTTTAAAATATCTATTTCTTTTGTTAATTTTGATACTAGTCGTTTGAGTTCATTGTTTTCTATTATTATGTTTTCTAATTCATTTTGCGTGCTCTGAAGATTAGATGTAAGTTGACTAATTTCTTCCTGGAATTCTAGTGTTGTTAATTTGCTACCAACTGTACATTCTAAACTTTTTGATAACTTTTCGGGGGATAAAAATGAGTCGTTTGAGTTATCAGTATCGGTAAGAATATGTGAATCCAAATTTTGAGACATGGGTGTATCTATGGATGTGATTGACATTTGAGATACAGTTTCTTCGGGTTTTTTGTCTTTAGTATTTACTGTATTATTTGTTTTGTTTCTTAATGTTACGTTAGACTGGTCGATTGAGAATGTATTTTTACTAATTTTCTGTTTTTGTGTACATAATAGACACTTCCAATTTTTTCGCTTCTCATATTCCATTATAAAGAATCGCTTTTCTGAGACACCTGCGCAGTTATATTCGTATCTATTTTTACAAGAAGAACATACTATAGTCTCTTTTATATCAATTTGCGATTTACTTTTGTAGCATGTTGCTACTGACATCTTGCGGCCGCTTTTGGAAACTTTATCGGATTTCGTATCCATAGTCTCAACACCAATGTGTACTGTGCACGTATGAATTTAAATATTTTTGTCTTTTTATTCACACCCTTTAGTTTACACTGTTTCTAAATATTATTCAATAACAGGATAAACACAAAAAATTTTGTACTAGTAGGATTTGATCTTGCAATCAATTTTTCGACCAGTATACTAAAAATTGTAAGTATAGCCACTAGGCCAATTTCGTATTCATACAAATCTTTGAAATTAGCGATGTATAGTTTCACTGGATATAACTTCATTTGTTTCTCAATTGCCTATTTATTTGACGGCCTCGGTCTAGCGGTTGGGCCCACCGCCTTACTTTCCGATGATCTGGTTCGATTCCTTCCAGTGCAAACATTTATATACATGAGTATGACTGTTTGTATGTGGACAACATTTACATACACATTATTTCCTGTGTAAAAGCAGTTAATATGGGTGTGTTTGACAGAGTACGTACGTGCAAGCGTTGCTGTACGGCGTGTGCGCGCTGCTGGCCGCGCTCTCGGTGCTGGCGGTGCCGGAGACTCGGCGGGCGCGGCTGCCGCAGTCCGTGCAGGCGGCCGAGGTGCTGCGCGAGGGCGCCCCCCACGCGGACTCCACCGCACCGCCCCCCGCGCCGCCGCTCCTCGCCCGCCAAACCCCGCTCACCGCCAGCACATGACACCTCTCATACACTCCAGTCAGGTGGGACAAGGGATCGGCTCTCGACTATGAGTACCTGATGCTGACCATCGCCTTGTGAGACATCTTGAAACCCGACCTGTTCGTAATATATTGTTTTGAATAACAACTGTTTATTATAAACAAACTCTATTCAAAAGAGCAACACACAAGTTTTTAGTATATTCTTCTTGTGATGAACCTGCGTTCCGAATGAGTGGTAGAATATAAAATATGATTATTCAAAAGTGCTTGTATTGAGTTTATTTGAATAACAATTATTTATAATTCTATTTTGTTACACCGACAACGTGAATGAAGCCAGCATTATCAGATTTTTCCAGACAAATTGAAATACTTTTCAATAAAAAAATACCTAAAACTAGCGGCCAAAAAAATTCTCGAGGATTTCGTACGTATAGTAGAAATATTAAAACGAAATAAAAGTTGTTATACAATATGTAGCTTTGTATGTTACATGTAGAAGACGTCGTTAGGACTATAGACCATAGAGGTACTCCTTGTTCTGTGTTCAGGACTACAACATTCCGGATAGCAGGACATTTTTCATTTTACCATAAAATCGGAACGTCCCGCCAAAATTAGGATATATGGGAACGCTGCTAGCAGGTATCAGTTTCGACAATGTTAATGCATTACCATCAGAAACTGTTCATTTTTTATTATTGTTCTGATATTTCGTACTTCGGTCTCTTTTGTAGTCCGAAAGTTACCAGATAGAGGAAAGTGACCAAATATGGAATACCATTTCATTTTTAGGCATAATTTCCACAAATCTTATAAATAAAAATCTTTTTGTGGTAATTATTAACAGTCATATATTTGTACTTAATTAATTCCAATATTAGGTCATATTGATTACTTTGGGGTAAGAAAAATTGACAAAAACTAAATAACAATAAAGGTAAATAACAATATATGGAATACCAAAAACAAATTAAAAAAATTAACCTTAACTTCTAAGAGACTCTTTAAAAAGTTTGATATAATATAGAAAGGAACACAAATTATTTACAAAAATCGCTAAACCAGGTATAAAACTCGGGGCCAGCGCTATTATTATGTGCCCAGGGCCCACACATGAGGCACTCGATCCATGTTTCCCCATGAATATCATTTTAAAACTGTATACCGCAAAAAATTCACTCTATACTACAAAAGAACATCTAACAGTATCTGAAAGTTAGAAAAACAATACTGTGTGGACTTTCTGTACGAGAAATATTTATTTTTTATATAACTTAGAAACTTATGTGGTAGGGATAAAACAAAACACTGTCACAACGACGAAAATGCGTCCTCGATTGACATTCTACAATTTGTATGCGTAAATGGGAGTAGAAAGAGGTAGAAAATCACTGTTCATTTAAACGTGTGAATTCGCAGTTGAGAGAAATGGATGGAATGTATTCCATATTTCCATATTCGTTATTCTCATATTTGGTCACTTTCCTTAAATATAGATTTAAGTAAATATAGGCTCAATTGTAAATATTTTGAATAAGTATGAATATTGTATATAGACATGTGCCTGTTAACATTTTTTTGTAATAATATATTCATATAATAAAAACGTTAAAATAAATATATTTTAGAAAAGTCACAGTTACGCCAAAAGTTAATTTGGGCGCCACAGATTTCGCGTAATCGAGATCCCGCGAGATCACGAGCTATTTACGATCCGGGAGACCAAGAATGACGAGTTCTTGCGAGATCTACATGAATTTCTAAAACGAACTCACGATGTGGGCCCGCGACTGCGTCCTCTAGTATAGATATTTTTAGTTTCATGTCTTTATTTCTACCAAATAGTGTATTGATATTATGATTTGTTTTTACGTTGTTCGACAAAGAAAACGACTTGTTACATTAGAATTTATTTTATTTCAAATCTGTAAAAATAAATAAATACTTTATTACAATGTTTTTAATATTTAACTCTGTTTTATTGCCCGTAATTTACCTGAAATCAATAGTACTAATAAAGATACATATAGCAAAAATATTGTTTATTGAAAATGAAACAAAACATGAAGTAATAATAACATTTTATATGACCTCAACGTTGCGTACATATTATATAGATATATCTAAATATATAACATTCAGTCTTATGGTTGCTAGTGGCATCACGTGTTATCACATTATAATTGCACCTACCTACTACACACATACTACTCGCACCAGAAAAATGTTGTTCCCTGAACAATGTTCCACGCTGAGCTTCGACCTTTTTGTATTGCTAGTTGCAACAGATCACACATAATAACAGAAACTTGTAAATCTTACGTCGTATTGTATTGTGTATATTTATGAACATGCTGTGTGTGATTAGTAACAAACAAATAAACGATATATCTATCTATCTATATGACGACCTCGGTGGTATAGCGGTTAGCACACCGCTTTACGACCGATGGTCGCGGGTTCGATTCCTCGCACGGCACAAACATTTGTATTCATGAGTATGATTGTTTCTATCGGTCTGGGTGTTTTCTATGTATAATATGTATCTATTTACAAAAAAAATATCTATGTATATGTGTCAGTTGTCTACTACCCATAACACAAGCTTTAGCTAGCTTAACTTGGGTCTAGATGGCGCTGTGTGAATTGTCCTGAGATTATTATTATCTATCTAAAACACATTTACTTACATCTAATCCAGACACCGATGATGTAGTAATTAAGTGTAGCATTAGACATCATTAAATTATAATTAGATAACATACAATCCTAATTGATAACATAATTATCACCATTGTATTGTTCACATTGACATCTTACCTACACGATAATTGAACACATCTATTCGTTGTTTATTATTATAACTACATACTAACTGTTCAGGAATGTTAGCTGGACAGCAAACCCTGGGGTGCACAGCGCCAGAGATACAACCATCGATTTAAGCAGTTTAATCAAAGTTGATTGATATCAGGGATGTTAGGGAGCTCCGTAACCGTAACCGAAACTATCGAATATCCGATATAAAAAAATATCCGTAACCGTAACCGAATCCGAAATAAAAGTTTCGGATAATATCGGATAGGGGCGGAGCCTAATTGAAACTGATTGTAATTCCTACCAAATGTTCACATATAAATAAAACTATTTTAATAGTTACTAGCTACTCGCCCTGACTTCGCCCGGGTGTACATGTATTATACATATACACCTTCCTTTTGAATCACTCTTTCTATTAAAAGACACCGCTTCAAAATCCATTGCGTAGTTTTAAAGTTTCAAGCGTACATAGGGACGGACAGACAGCGACAGCGACTTTATTTTATACTATGTAATGATTTGTATTTTACTTTTGGAATTCCTTAAAAAATTAACACCTGTAACCGAAATTATCCGAAACTAACGGATGATCCGAAATAATTTCATATCCCCATCTGTATCCGTATCCGGTATAATAATCATTCCTATATCCGAAACATATCCGTATCCGAAATTTCAAATCCATAACATCGCTGATTGATATTAAATACCAGCTGCCTCTGAAAATCTGTTTCCACCCTACTTCCTTATTACCCGATGTTATGGGAACAAGACATATTTACCTAAACCATTTATTTGTTTATAAACATATTTTTATTAACTAAAACTTAATCTATACTAATGTTATTTACATAAAATGTAGTTATTATATCAGAAGTTGATAGTTTGTGTACTTGTAATTGATAAACTCAAAAATAAAATATATACTTTGATAATTCTTACTATGATTAAAAATACATTGTTCCTGAATGACATAGGCCATGTATTATGTTAATATATACAAAACTCACAAAACTATGAGCACAACAGAAGTAATATCGCTGGTCATTAGTCCTCGAGTCAGAGGCTTATTTTGTATATTATTTCCGCCCGGTCGAAAACTTCTGAGATGGCTAAGAAAGTTGTGTTCTGAAGTTTTATGAAAGTCCAAATTATCACTATTATAATATATTCTCTCTGTCTAAATATATATAACTGAAAAGTGACTGACTGACTGACATAGTGATCTATCAACGCACAGCCAAAACCACTAGACGGATCGGGCTGAAATTTGGCATGCAGGTAGATGTTATGACGTAGGCATCCCCTAAGAAAGGATTTTGATTAATTCTACCCTCAAGAGGATAAAATAGAGAATGAAAGTTTGTATGAAACTTTGTCAATTTTAAACCGATCGAGCTGAGACTTTGCATGCATAAAGCTACAATGACTTTGGCATCCCCTAAGAAAGGATTTTGATAAATTCCACCCCTAATCCAGCACGCTACAGCCATCTGGCTATTTTTATCTTTAATACATAAGTTTAACTGTAACAAAAAATAAAAGAAAAAAAAACGTGATATCAATTTGAACCAGGAGGAAATGAAAGATTTTTTACGTGAAGTCGTTATGCCTCAACCCACCCTCGGAAACGCAGCTGACTTTCACTAGGCTTCATAACACAACTTTATTAGCGGAATTAGAAGTTTTGTACTGGACGGAAATTGGTCAGCTTGATCTGTTCCTGGCTTGCGGACACATCTTATACAATATGGTTAAATTGAATGTGTTTCAATTGAGAAGACTCAATACTTAGGCTATAGGTATAATCAGACCCCGAATAATACTATCAAATATACTTAACAGACAAATATTTACATATTGCTATGTATATTGGTATGTACCAATATACATAGCATATATAATGTTAATAAAATTTATATAATTAATAATGTTATTAAACTATATGTCTTTATAGAATCCTGTAATTGTTAATATAAAACAACTAACAAACAACCAAACACTGCACCACCGCGCCGCCGCCGCGCCGCTGTGGTCCACTTGTCGCGTTGTTTGAACATTATTTTGTAAGTTGTTGCTATTGAGCGTTATAAGTTCATACGGGCCGGGCGTCTCCAAACAGTTATACAATATTCATGAATGATTATTTAATACTAGCTGCACCCGCCACTTCGTCCGCGTGGAATTTATATTATTTTTCTAAAATAAAAGTAGCCTAAGTTACTCCTTATTACATTAGATATTTGCCAAAAAAGTGGCCACCTAGGTGGACCTATTTTGATGGGACCACATAAGACAGACAGACAGACAAAAATTGTAAAAAATATTATTTTGGTGTATGTTGTAAAACGATTATTTGAATATTATAAACAGACACTCCAATTTTATTTATATGTATAGATGTCAAACATATTATCAGATACTAATTTACTGTACTGTATTTATAAAATATATCTTTTATTCTTCAAACTTCAGTTTAAATTATTTAAATACTAGCTACTCGCACCGACTTCGTACGGGTGTACAAGTATTATATATATATATATATATATAAACCGTCCTCTAGAATCATTCTATCTCTTAAAAAAACCGCTTCAAAATCTACCTCCAAGGGGATGAAAGTTTGTATGAAACTTTGTCAGTTTTAAACCGATTGGACTGAGACTTTGCATGCATAAAGCTAATATGACGTCGGAATCCCCTAAGAAAGGATTTTGATAATATTCCATCCCTAAGAGGATAAATTAACGCGAGCGAAGTTGTGGGCAAAAGCTAGTAAATATATAAAAGAACAAATTGAATGTTCATTCTCATGTTAAAACCGGCAGTCACTTAGTTGCGAACTCAATACAATGACGCCTGGATTAATACAGACACCATCATAACACTCCTATTGATATGGCGCGGCCATGCGACCTGTTCATGGCGGTGCGGCTACCGGCTCGGCTGCTCCGGCTGCAGGGCGTGCAGCTCGTGGTCTTGGCCGGCGGGGGCGGCGGGGGTGGCGGGGGTGGCGGGGGGAGGTTGTAGGCGAGAGTACACGAGCCTGAGCGCGAGCAGGGCGGCGAGGGTGAGGGCGGCGGTGGCCCCGAAGGTGGCGTCTGGTCCGCGGCGCGCGTACACCGCGGATACGAACACGGGACCCAGCGCGCGGGACACGCACCCCGCGCCCGTCAGCACGCCCATCCACACGCCCTGCACACACCACACCACATCAAAAACGAGTGTCAACACACAAACACACATAGCACAAGAAAGTGTCTTAAACACGTTTTTTCTAATACTACAGAGGATCCTTCTGCTTACATTTAGATTGTGGAATAAACTACCTGCCGAGATTTTCTCAAGGACTTCACCATAGGATTTTAAAAAAGGTTCTTAAAGATCGGTAAAGCGCATATACACCTCGGGTGCAGTCGTACATAGGCTACGATAACCGTTTACTATTAGAAGGGCCGTATGCTTGTCTGTCACCATCGTAGTATAAAAAAATACTGTTGGCAACAGGTGGCCTTTACTGCTTGCCGAATGATAGAGTGCAGATGGCACCCTAAACCCGCGAAAGAATTTATGGAGCGGTTGAATGCTAACTCCTGCCTGACGGATAGGATTTTAGTCTGAGAGCTGGTGCTCTCAGAGTAAAGTGACCCTGTCTCAGACCGAACCCCTGCTGGGCCAGGCAAAGGTCAAAGCTCGACTCAAGCCGTAGTAATTTCGATCCCCGTTGGATTGGAAGGTGAATCGATGGGAGAGGAGTTAGTGGAAGTCTTAGACACTAAAATTGATGTAGTTTTTCTTCAATATTCCTTTTATCTCTATTCTGAAACCTTACGTCACCCCTCGCCCAAGCTTACTTACTTTCATTCGAAATTTTGCCATTAACATTTACGTTCTGCTTTACTCAGCTGACTTTTTGTTACTGTTTGCGCCACAACTAGTTTAAATGCACATCTCGTGTAATAGACAAGGACAGACATACTCACGATCTAGGGCCGAAAGGAGCCGAGTACGCCCGCGCCATCGCTGGAAAGAAAGATGGCGCTTCTTCTTCGTTTCCCGCTCGTGTCTGAGAAACGCCGCTCGCACATAATTACGTTTTATAATAATTGAATCACTACGATTTAATAAACTATTGAATTGTCAAGGTGTATATAGATAGTGTGCAATATTCAAGGTGTATATACACTAATTTCCGCCGCGCGTGTTGTGTGTGTGATCAGTTCATCGATCATCATCGTCGTCGATCATCGATTCCTGCACCAAGACGCCATAGCAGAAAGCCAGGTACGCTCGTAACTCCTTACTTTGCCCGTGATCTGTGACGACAGTCTTATCGAAGGAATATATCTCTCGGGATACATATCCCTAGGGAACCGCTTTAACATTTTTTGGCCCGTTGCGAACCGGATATTTTGCTATTTGTCTACGCCTGCTTCCAGAAACATAAAAAAAAAAAAAAAAACTTATGTCTACTCTGCATTGTGTTCATATCTGTAACAAAATTTAATCTGTAACAAAAACTTACTCTGTAAAATTACTACGCATACTGTTTCCAATAAAATACATGTAAAATTATACAAAAGGGATTTTGAAGCCTCTGTTACTGAATATATGGTCCTTCGAGCCGGATACGACTAAATAATTACAAATATACGAAGATTCATGGTGAAGCAAATACCAACACGTTTATACGAAGACTCCATAGTGCAGGAATAATCCAATACCGGCACCTTATCAAATAAGAGGAATTCGTAAAAATCATATATAATCAAGAGGAATCCATAAGAATCAGTTAAATGGTCAGGTCTTCAATCCTATTTCCTAATCCTTACTAAACGATTTGTGTTAAAATATTGTATTTTTGGATTTCAGTTTGTCGTGACACGTATTCATTTTCTAAAACGTTGTGTACTGCTCGCGTTGCGTAGTTAATCTGTAAGTATAGTATCATAGTTATACCTACACAGACCTTCAGAATGGGTGGTGATGATAAACTGTCAGTACCTTCAGTTTCTCCAACACGAAAACTATCTATTGAACTAACAGATCTAAAAAAGCAACGAGGTAACTTGAAAGGCAGATTGACTCAGTTTAGAAAGTACTTAGACTCATTTCAAATTAGTAGTGCATCTGGACATAAAATAAAAGAGATCCGTTTTAGGATGAAAGCTGCTATGGATCTATACAAAAACTTTAATGATATTGAAAGTCAAATAGAGTTACTAAGTCCAGAGTCAGAAGTAGTAAACAATTCTGAATATGTTGAATCATTTGAATTATTGTATTTTGATATTATGGCTACTTCAGAAGGCATAATAGAGTGTAGCGAGACTGGTGACAATACTAATACATCAAACAGTAGTCATATTTCTAGGGCTCAAGTGAAACTTCCAGACATTAGGCTCCCATCCTTCGATGGATTGTCATTTGATACTTGGCTCGAGTATAAAAACTCCTATGTCACTATGATACATGAGCGTTCAGATCTAAACGACATCCAGAAGTTCCATTACTTAAAATCTTCACTAAGTAATAGTGCATTGCAAGTAATAAGCGCTTTAGAATTTACATCTAATAATTATAAGCATGCATGGGATCTATTACAGTCCAGATATCATAATCCAAGACTTCTGGTACATAATCATTTAAAATCTTTATTTTCAATTCCTCCTTTGAAACAAGAATCACACACACAAATTAGGAAATTAATTGACACTGTGTTACGTAATCTGCGAGCATTAAATTCATTGGATGAGCCCACAGACTCATGGGACACCATAATAATTTATCTAATTGTTACAAAATTGGATACTTCCACAGAGCGCGACTGGGAGAGGCATAAAGGGACACTGCTTTGTGATTCTTCCAGGAAATTAAAATTAGAAGATCTGTTGTCATTCCTCCGTGGTAAAGCAGACATGTTAGATATGATATCTTCAAGTCACTCAAAGGTACAGAGCAGATCTATGGTTAATATAAATGAAAATAAGAATACACAGCATAAAAATAATGTTCAGTCGGTTCATAGCTTTGTGTCAACTGCATTTAAAGGCAAATCCTCTAATTCCAACCATAATAAACGCTTATCTTGTCCATTGTGTAATGGTAATCATCAACTTTATTCGTGTTTCCAATTTTTAAATTTGTCTATCCAAGACAGAATGAAGTTAGTTAGTGAAAAGCAGTTATGTAATAATTGTTTACGACCTGGACACTCAAATACAGAGTGCTTGTTCGGACCATGTAAGTCGTGTGCACGCAAACACAATACATTACTCCATTTAAAAACTAATAATAATAATGATGTTAGTATGCATAATGAATGTACACCCACAGAACATCATAATAACATCACTAATGTCAGTCAGTCTATTAAATCAGGTATCCCTTCAGGACAAGGCAGTGTCAATGCTGGCTCATCGACTGCATTGCACTCCATGTCCATAGATTCCTATCACGCTGTGAATAGAATTAGTAACGAAAATTCATTACAAACGGTATTATTGTGCACAGCGCTAGTGGAAATAGTAGATCACGATTTTAAACGAGTTCATACAGCAAGAGCTTTGCTGGACAGTGGTAGTCAACACAGTTTCATATCAGATAATTTAAGGAAACGAATTAATGCGTCTTGTATACAGTCCACTCTTCGAATTTCAGGCGTTGCACAGTCAGTGTCACACTGTAATCAGTCATGTCATATAATTATACGTTCAAAATTAAGCGATTATACAAAAAAGGTTCAATGTTTTGTCCTGCAGCGCATAACATCCAGTTTGCCCACGACAAGTATTGACACCGATCATATACGTATACCCAATAATATACAGTTAGCAGATCCAGCATTTCACTCCTCTTCTGAAATCGAATTATTGATAGGCGCGGATCTCTTCTGGGAAATATTGGACGATAATAGAATTCGATTAGTAAACGGACCATTTTTACAGAACTCTAAATTTGGTTGGTTGATATCTGGCCCGATATACTCCAAAGGGTTGGTTTCTGCTCCAAATGAAGTTCAATGCAATTTTACACAATCTTTAGACGACCAACTCAAACGATTTTGGGAGATTGAGAATGTACCACAGTCATCGCATAATACTCCTCTAACTCGTGATGAACAAACGTGCGAAGAATTATTTTGTAAAACGACTAAACGTGATGCTGCCGGTAGATTTTTTGTCCGTATACCCCTGAAGGAACCGCCCGAGTCTTTGGGTGATTCATTGACACTGGCTAGGAGTAGGTTTTTTTCTTTGGAACGAAAACTGGAACGTTCACCAGAATATAAACGTATGTACTGTCAATTTATGAGTGAGTACGAAACGTTGGGTCATATGAATCGCGTAGATAGCGTTGATTATCCTAACTACTTCTTACCTCATCACGGTGTTTTTAGAGAAAATAGCTCTACTACAAAACTGCGAGTCGTATTCAATGCTAGTGCTGCCAGTTCATCAGACAAATCACTCAACGATATACAATTACCCGGCCCAGCTCTCCAAAACGATATCTTTTCTATTCTTATTCGTTTTCGTCAATACAAATATGTAGCTTGTGCCGATGTAGAAAAAATGTTTAGACAGGTGATGATTCAGTCTGATCAACGGACCCTGCAACTCATTCTTTGGAGGGACAAACCAATTGATCCGTTGAAAATATATCAACTTAATACTGTAACGTACGGAACGGCATCAGCACCGTACCTTAGTATGCGGTGTATACGTCAGTTAGCATTTGAATGTAAGGATGACGAGATCGCTCGCGTCATCACTGAGGATATCTTTGTAGACGATTTAATTACGGGCCATGATAATTATCAATCCCTTTTGGAAATTTGTGAGAAAACGTCAAAAATTTTAGAATCAGGTCGTTTTCTACTACGAAAATGGACGTTCAACTCTGACGTCAATTGTAGTGCACCAGACAACCTATTTGTAGGGGAACATACGCAAAATAAAACTTTAGGTATTGGTTGGCATAATGATAGTGATGAATTATACTACGCGACAAAAATAGACTATACATTGTTGACAAAATTGACTAAACGAGTAATGTTGTCTACCATTTCGCAAATCTATGATCCGTTAGGATTATTGTCCCCTGCCGTTATTATATCAAAAATATTATTACAAAAATTGTGGCTTAGTAAGTTGGATTGGGATACTCCGGTGTCACCTGAAATAGTCGTAACA